GCTAGGAACCTTCTGACACTTGTTCTCAAACTATAGGCATCCTGAGAGTGGTTCCACAGCGTCACCATTTTCAGCAATGGTTATCATCCATTTTACATGCAAGAAGCTCACGTGTTTTCCTTCCTGTGCAGATTTTAGCTTTGAAAACTGCATCACACCCACTCTTCTTCACTGCTCTACTCAATAGCATTCATACAGGCAGACTGCTTGGTAGCATAACCCGCTCTGTAACGTACCAGGACAAATATGACATAACATTGCTAATTCCAAGAAAAAGCACCTTTACACATCCTTATCTGAGCTGTATTTAAACAGGACGACAACACCAACACGATGTAATCCCAGCAGATGTATGTAACTGTTGACACACCTCATAATTATCAGACCACAAACTATTCTATATCCTGACTGTACAGTGCTGCCAAACTTTCTATCAAGCTTCTTAGGAAACTACTACTCCCAACAATGGCTTAAAGAGCCAAGAAGTATAATCACTTAAAATACTTATGGGAGCTGCTCAGTCTGGGAAACCAAATTCTGTACATAGAGATATCTGAAATACCTAGAAATGTTTGGGCAACAAGACTGCAACAGCTTCCAGGGGAATTTAAATCAACTATTAGTATTCTTACCACAAAAGTGTTCTTCACAGCAAAAATAGTTCCTTAGGAAAGTAAAGGAAGGGAAACTTCACAGAGTGCTGGGTGGCCCAGGAAGCTGCGGAGTGGCAGCTGGCTGAGGATGCAACATTTTGTCTCATCAGGACACCTTATTCCTGATCTTCATTAAAAGAGGCATTTTGCAGTTGTCTGAGCAGTATCCCAGGTTTTTTAATCAAAAACTCAATAAAGGACTAAATGCAGAGGGATGGCCAGATACTGACTGGTTTTGAGGCGAGTAATAAAAACTAATAGACTAGTCATACTTTATGAGAGAGCAGTCAGAGGACCACCAAGAGATTGCACAAGAGAAAAACATCCTCAGGAGCTGTATTAGCTCATGTTAACTTACTGTGCAATATGCTGAACCCAAGAATCAACCTGGGCTCTACAGCATGTCTGCACAGTGATGCATTCAGGTGAGCACAGTTCACCCCAAGCAATACAAGCCTAAACTTTCAGTGACCAACACACAATTTGCACTGATTTCCTGACCAACATGCCAAAGCTCCCACTCAGTCAGGAGGAAATAACTCCTTGAGATTTTGCAGGACTTCCCTTAGATATTGTCATAGCATTCAGCATGGCTGAGACTAAGCCCAGAAGGGGAATTTTCTGTGGACTTCTACAGAAGCATCAAGGTCTCGCCTTCACTCTGAAAGGCTGCCTTCCAATCAGGGGTCCAAGAAGGTAAAGGACACCAAGTTTACATCAAGACAGACTCTTCAAGAAGCCACCCACTGACTTTGGATGGTGGTTTACATGTAACAATTTTATTCAAAAAGATTACCAAGATTAATTTTCCTTTTTCACCCCGGAGTGAATCCCCTGGAGAAATAAAAAGGTGAAACTCATAACTTTTGTCAGTTTGAGCTGTTAAATAAACAAACAAATAAATAAATAAATAAATTTTAAAAAATGCACAAAATGCTCTTTTCTTTTGCTTCACTGCTTTTCTTTTCCCCAAAGACTCTCCACTCAGGAATACCCAACAGGCTGCACACACATTCACAAGTAAATGCTATTACACCTTTCATGGACTTTGGTTTTAGTGAGTATTTATCCCCCAAATACCAACCTGAGGGCATTCTTAAGAGTTAAAATTCATTGAGACAGTATTTGGCCACTGTTTGCTCATCAGTGTTTCACTCCACAGCGCAGAGTTCAAGCCAGGCTGTGGTATGCTGGATGACATTATTTGAAAAGTTTTGAGAAATCCCATTAAAGCTTTTCTCAGTAACTTTCTGAACTTCTTTTTTCCTGGTCATCTGCCACATCATACTGCCCTCCAAACTCTTGCTGCCTTCTTTCAGAAATTTCCCTCTAATCTAGTGGAAACTAAAGTGCTTTTAAAGAGAAGTGACATAGATATACATACACGTGTGCGTATACCAAATTTATATAGGCTGAATTGGCTCATGCTTTCCACTCTCCAGCAGCTTTTCTGGCACAGTTTCTCTCTCTCTCTCCTATAAAGGTATCTGGGAAACATGGTTTGCCCTACTGCCTGTGATTTCTGTTGGCTTATTTCCAATATCAAAATAAAAGCAGAAATGGGAAAGAAAAATAGTTCACGTCCCAACATTCATGCCTTCTTTTGCCCTCACCTCCTCACCTAACCTACAACTAATGCACACTCTCAGAAGTGAAATTACACCTGGTGAATGGTTGTATCCCTTCTACAGAGCAGTCAGTACCCAGCCCTTTTTGTTCCCTTCCTTATCATAATCAAGTGCTGGCTTGAGCATAATTATGTCTCAGCATCGTTTTTGCAGCCTCACGCTTCGTTACAAAACCCTGAGCCATACCAGCTTTACCAAAGAAATCCATTTCCTTGTGACTCCAGGAAAAGATTGTCTGAAGCTCCAAATGTTCCCTGGCTTTGCATTATTTTGCTTACCAGTGACCAGGGACTTGGTCATAAAGGCTGCGCAGTCACATTTTATTGCCCAACACCAATTAAGAAAAGCAGATTTCACCACCTGATGAATCAGATACCGCTCCAATGTTACCAAATACTTCGATGACCAAGAAATTGTGCACTCATTTAACAGAATGAAAACAATTAGCAGAAACAGAAAGTGGATAGTCCCTCTTTTGGAAACAGTTCTTAGGGAATTTTGGTGATGATGTTAATCGGAAAGGAGGAAGCAGCAGCAATTTCAAAATAATTTTAAAAAATCACGTTAGTGAAGTCTCTGCTGATCATAATCCTTACTGTCAAGGCCAATCCACACAACTCCATCTACACCAGACGCACATCAATGCTGTAAGTCTATTTAAATGACACTAGCAGTGTAAGTCTATAATCCAAACTACAGACAGTGGGCCAAGCCACTCCCTGCACAACTGTTTACCCTCTGTACTTCAGGATGAGCCAACTTTTTTTCGCACTCCTCTTATCTCCTCTGACTGTTATTTCCATCTGCTGGCTTCCCTAGATTCTGTTCCCCCTCCCATCCCAGGGCAACCAGAAGCGTATTGGGAAAACACAGGAATGAAGATAGAATGGCTTGATTTCTTGATTTCTTGATTTGGGAAGAACCTTAACAATCACCTGATTCCAACCTTCTTCCCTGGGCTGGCTGCACCATCTTAGGCTGCCTAGGGCCCCATCAAGCCTTGAACACTCCCAGGATGGGACACCCACATCTCTCTGGATAGCACTGCCAGGGCCTCACCACCCTGAAGTCTGTTATGTATGTTATGTACTCACTGCTGCATTCAGGACGTAGGCAGTGCTGCACAAATGGTGTTGGTACAGTACTGGTGAAAGAAAAGAATGGCAGCTCATACAGCACTGACTGGTCAGGATTCCATTCTAGATAACTGTAAATACAGCCACGCTGGACTCAGGTCTTTTGGTTATATGGGTCATATGGTCCTCTTGCTCCCCAGCAGCAGCTTTCATGTGCTGATTCTAATTACACGAGATCAGAAACCTGCTGCAATCAGAAAGCCTCCACAGCATGCTGGCCTTTGGCTGCATGGATCTGCAGCTGCCTTCATAATAAGGGCAAGAATACAGAGGAGGATTTAAACTCATTAAATGTTTGAAGGTGCTGGGCTATAAATCATACTATAGATACACTGATTTGATTTTAATATTAGTATTTACTGTCACCTAACCTGTGCTTCAGAGTCCTGAGTTCTAATACAAAGCACTAAATAAGGAGTTTGGGTTCAAACAGGGATTACTATCTGCCTATGTCCAAATCCGATTACAGCCTAATGACCCACTGCGTTTTGTGCTTGATTCTAAATCCGTTTCTTTTTTCAGTTTTCTCTTCTTTCTTGGAACATAGAAGTGGTTATTTAAGCCTAAAGTGGGCTACATCCAAACTACAAAAATTAAGTTATTTCCAGGATGGGATTCAGGCTAAACACTCTGTAGGTTTGTGCTATTTGCTCACGTCACATCTTCAAAGTAGTTAAAACGCTAATAGACATATAGATATCTTAGTGTATCTATGGTATCACCTAATCTAAACTCAGCTTATGTTAAGCATGCATACAACAGTGAGAAACCAAAGAAGGTATCAGACTCATTAACTTACACCTAGTCATGTTTATCTTATCTTACAGTCACATTTATCTCAGTTTAATCTTCTGTCCAGAGTAACAGGTTGCCCAAGGAGGCTGTGGATGCCCCATCCCTGGAGGCATTCAAGGCCAGGCTGGATGTGGCTCTGGGCAGCCTGGTCTGGTGGTTGGCAACTCTGCACATAGCAGGGGGTTGAAACTTGATGATCACTGTGGTCCTTTTCAACCCAGGCCATTCTATGAGTCTACATATATACAAGCTATAGGTGCCTGAGTGCTAGTATCATTGCATTATACACAGGCAGAAAAAAAAAAAAACCAACAAAACAAAACAGCAGAAATAATTAACTTTGGTACTCTAACAGTGAGAGAAGGCGGCTTTCACAAAGCCACTGTGATCATTACCCTCTCATTAAGAGTTTCTGAAGTTAAGAACCTTTAAAAATACTAGTGCAATGATTTAAAGTGTGCCAAAGTAACACTAAACAGATCAAACTCTTTCAGAGAGACAGCAAGAGTACAACGAGGGGAAAAAAAGGGTCTAGGTGTGGGAGAAGTAATCCTTAGCTGCCTCACTAGACAGAGCAGACAGCTTCAGTTCCTACGTATGGGCAAGAGAAAGTAACTAGCAGCAGTGAGCAGAGTTTCCAGCTGTTAAATCCAAACTCACTTGTATTTTCTAATCTACACATAGGCACATAAGAATTCTTCTGTATTGTTTTTTGAGCTCAAAGGCATTTACGATAGCATAAAAAAAATACATCCTATAGATAAATACCACAAAAAGCTCAGGCTTACCAGGCTGCTCACTTTCACTGCAGGCACAGCTCCAGCACACAGATCAAGGAAACCAGCAGATGCAAAAGAATCTCAGCACGCAGAGCTCTGGGCACACACTTCTACAGCTTCTTTGATCACCCAGGTGCTGCTCTGCTCAGCTGTAGCCTATCTGCCATCTGGTACCCATCCACAGCTTTTCCTAACCTCCAGTAATTAAAGCCAGTGAAAAGTGCTTTCAGCTGCAGCATTACAGCCTGCTTGTGCCTACTTACCCACAAGTTAAAACAGTCATTGTTCCTGGTCCTTTAAATACTAAACACAAGACAGTGAGATTTTTTTTAATTATTATTATTATTACTATTTTTTTAAACTGATGTTAGCCTTTGCTTTTTTCTCAGGGAAGCTCAGGGCTGACTTACAGCCAATGGGCTGCACTGGGCAGCTGCCAGATGGCCATATCACCTCTCAGAAGAGGTTTCCCTTTCTAGCTGTCCTTGTTATTTATAGACAATAAGCAGTGCCTCAAAAAATAAAACAAAACAAAAACCAAACTGAAGGGAGTGAAGGGGAGGGGTAGCTTCAAGTTATTTGGGACTTCATTTAGCTGCTGCCTGATAAGTGTTTGCCAAGGTCTCTTTGAACAGCTTTTTAAAAAACTTCACAGTATCTGTGGGTGGGGGGTGGAGAAGAAGGGGGAAGATTGTCAATTATTCATAGCTCAGGAAGTCTGGAGATAAGGGAGAGGCTTTAATTTCAAAATAAAAGAACGCTTGGTCTGAGAACAGCCTGCAAAATAGCCAGCTTAGGAAACTGGAGAGAGAGCTGTTTTATTTGCTTGAGATGTTAACTTACTTTGGAATCCAGAGTGTTTAGGGTGGAAAAGCAACTGGAGGAGAAAACCAGTGCAGGCTTCTGCCTGTGTTTCCAAGCAATTCCACGGAATGTCAGGAGACGGTGGTGGAACTGATCCCTCGCTTTAAACTAGACAGCTGCTTGTGTGCATTACGGAGCACTGCCAAAGCACATCATTTCCTTGTTTTGATTTTCTGATAATAAACTTCATTTTACTGTGCTGCTTTCCCCTCCTGCTGCTGCCATGAAAGTTTCAGGTTAGCCAATGCCAACCTAGTCTGCTGCTGCCTCCTGTCCTTGGAAGGCAGCGGTCATGAAGACTGGGGAACTGCTCTGTTCTTCTCTACTCAGCCCATCTCAGAGAAAAAAAATCACAAACAGATGAATTTAGCTGTGTTTGAGCTGAGCCACCCAGCAGCCGGCATCTGATCAGCTGCTATCCAGCTGCAGGACGCACTGCCAGCAGCTCAGGAAGGGTAGGAGGTTGGTGTGGAGAGCTGAGGGTGTGTTTTGGGGTGAATTTTTCAGCATATGTGTGTATGCGTGGTGAGAGTAGCGGTTGGGCTGTTGAGGCAAAAAGATACAGATGTGTCTGTAGGGTTCACAGAAGGCTGGAGGAGAAGCTGGGAAGTATAGGGCAAATCCATGGAAAATGAAATTTTGTATGGTGTGGTGCAAGCAGCACAGCTGCTCTCCCAGTACATTCATCAGCCACAAATAACAGAGCCACGTCTCTTTCTTAATTAGTCCTAAAAAAAATAATCATCTATCACTTGCTGTTATAATTTCTACTACTAAACAACAGATTGACTACTCAGGGATTGGCAGCAGTAGCGATGACTTGCTTCAGTACTCAGAAAAAGATAAAAAATCCCAACAAAGACCCCCAGGCTGCAACTGAAAGTGAGAATCACCTGAAGGTGCCCAAGTGTTTCTCGTTTGCCACCACAGACAGTCTCAAGCAGCAGAAAAATTTACTGCACTTGTTGAAAGCTTAGGTCTGCTGACTTCTTTGTAAGGATGGATTTATATTCTTGTGCTTTTATGACATTGTAAGATAGAAATGAAAAGCAAACATTAGGAAGAAAGCTATGGAATAATCAGTGGCATTTCTAGTAAAGACATACAAGTCCAACAGAAGTAAAATTTCAACATTCTGTCATTTGAATATATTCCATTTTGAGTTAGCCAGTTATCTGTTGAACAATTAGAAGTATTCCTTGTCATAAAAAATGGCCTTTTCACAGCAACCTGTAGCTCAGTTATCTTGTTTTGCAAGTATAGAGGAAAAATGTCGAGGCAATTAACGTCGGGTTTGCAGGTTAAAAACCCCCCAACTGCAGTAAACAAAGCCTGAAATTAGTTTTAATTCGAATGCTAAAGCCCTTTAAACTGCATTTATGCTAAGTAAACCACTGTAATATTAACTCTGGGGTTAAACTAGGCAGCTTCTGAGTTCGGACAAGTCTGGAGTTCTTCAAATTGCAGACAGAAACAAAATCACCAGAATTCATCACACAGCTGCTTTACACCACCTGGAGCAAGCAGGAAGGAGCAGTGCTGTGCCCACCCCACATCACTCCCATTCCAGTGACTACCAGTTGTTCAGTGGGTGCTTTCCATGGAGACAAAATGGCCTCTACAGAGGCTGCAATGGACAAGAGGCCAATTTTTGCTGCCAGATGAACAGAATAACACCATTTCCCAGCCAGCTCTTTGGCCAGCCGTGTCCAGAGCCCTGATGACATCTTAAGTGTACTGAATTTAGATCTCGCTGAGAATTTTGTATATTATTTATGAGAATGGATTGATTTTTCTCTTCTGCGAGGGAGTAATATAGTATATAATGTACAACAATGGGTTCCTCCCTTCTCTTCTGTGCTGCTGGTAAAATAATCCCTACACAAACACCAATGCATCGCTGTCAGGTTGAACAGACTGCCTCATTCTGTAGCTCCTGTCTACTGGTGATTCACTAGGAACTCAGAGAGAGAAAAAAGGAAATCTGTGTCCACCTCTCCTGTGAACACTGCATTACAAATGTATTTATTTTGTCTCATTCCAAAGCACATTAAAATCGAGAAGAAATGAAGCATGGGGAAACAGGAGTAAGTTTCTTCCTTCCTCTCACCATGTATTATGCATGTTTGCTTTTTGTTAGCTTACACCTGACATCCAAAAGACTGTTACACAATTTATGTTCATGCTTTTTTTTGATGCAGTGAGGCTTCCTTTGTCCCTTTGTTTTTTAACAAAACATGGTGTATCATAAGAAAGACAGACTTGCAAAGTGAGACTATGGCAGAATTTGTGTCCCTGCTTTCCAAATTGTGATGCAGATTACCTGTCCCAGCTGAATAATTACTTGGCTCAGGAGGTGCTCCAGCTCCAGCTGTCCCTTTTGGCTTTAATTCTACACATTTTAAAGACAGTGTGATGGGTTCAGCATCCCTCCAGGCACCACTGGATCTGGATCTGAGTTAAAGTGGGGGATTATAGTGGATCCACTCCCCTGGAGCATCTGGTTCCTTACGATCTGTTGTTCATCAACCATTTCCCAAGAAGGAAGTTGATCTTCATTCAAAGAAGCCACTGTCCTTTAACCTACCTGACCCCTTCCACTTCATTATTTTACTGAAATTTTACTTATCTAGACTTTCTTTTAACAAGATGCTCTCTGCTTCTGTTTCGTCCCCACTTTCAGTGATGAAGACATGAGCATCGCCCTCCTCTCCCTCCAGGAGAATGGCTCAGGCTATAGCAATAAGCCATGGGAAAGAGAACAAAGAGGTGGGCTGACGACAAAGCGAGGTTTGCCCTGAGCCTTCTGGGGAAATAAAAGCTGCAGAAGCTAGTTTGAACTGGGAGCCAAGTACAGAATGTCACTGAAATAATTTTTTCTAATTATTTTTTTTAAGTACATTTTGAAATCAGAAGAGGCCCATTTTTTTAAATTCCATATTAATGTTTTTACTTATTTAAACCATTTGGAAAGATTGAATATCTTGCTTTCTGCTTCAGAACTCGAGAAGAGATAGTTATATTTAAACCAGTGCCCCACTGCTCCCTGCCTCAGGGAAATGCAGTGAGTCCAAGAACCTGAAAGTGAAACTCACTGCCCTGCAATAAGTTAAACTGTAGCTTTCAAGGAAGAGAAGCATTTACTAGAACAGCACAATTCTGGTTTTGAACAGCCAAGCATATACAAAACAGCTGCAAAGAGCTCACATACTTTTCCACTCCAAGGCTGCTCGGTGGCAACACAAAACAACACCTTGAATCAATCAGAGGAGAAGGAGACACTCAGTGGAAAAAACAACTCTCCACTTCGGAAGAAGTTTCTGCATGGACACAGCATTACCTAGCAAAGGGAGAAGTGTGCTGGGATCTGAAAGGATGCAACTCCAGTGCTGACATCAATTCAGCTCACAAAAGCAGAATCCTGCTCGCATGCAGCAGTGTGCCAAGCAGCAGGCTGCATGGGAGGAGGTTGTTGTTGGCTGTTTTGCAGCCCCCCAGCATAGCTGCTGTTTACATCAGTTACAGCAGTGTAGATACGAGCTTGGCAAGAGACATGATTGTGGCTGGTTTTCTGCTGGCTTAATCAGATGCAGGCTACAGCCCTGAGTCCACAGTGCTGAAAATCTTCCCCTTCCCACATTCCAGGCATTTAGAAGAAACGATTTGTGTGAGCTGAGTCTTTGTTTTGAACAGGAAGGATACTGTCATCACGCTGGCAAGGAGTGCCTGTGAATGTGGTTGTGATTCCCTCCCCAGTGCAAACCCCTCAGATCTGCTCAGCCCCTTGCACAAGACTTCAGACTAAGAACAGAAGCCAAAGGGGCCCACAGCCCACAGTTGTGCTGCACATACCAAATGGTGAAGAGGACACAGGAGTAATATAACTGACGAAAAGAAGAGGAAGGGCAGGGCTGGACAGAAGAGGCTGCCAGGACCCACAGCAGACGAGCTGCAGTTGCTGCTGGCATTTCATTCTACTTTGTTCACAAAATGAAGCTGTTAAATTCTGTTGTCAATAAGAAAGTTCACAAAGTCCTTTCCCCAGTTCTTAGCTCTCTCCCGGAGAAAAATAATAATTAATAAAAAAATAAATCAAGGATGTTACCAATCCCACACGGCTCAAGGGGGGTGGTATTGCCCTTTATGCCCTTTATTGCCTCTGTCTTCAGACTTAGCAGGATGAGGGCAGAACAGTCTTTCTGCTGTTCTGTTGTCATCACAGCTGTACGGGCTCCCCTGGTACCAAATGGATGGTGAGGTGAGGGGAGGAGAATTTCTTCTATGGGAAGATGACATCTAGCCGGAGAATGACAAAAGCTTGGAAGCCAGTTCATAGGAAAAGGGCAGTGAGGCATGTAAAATGCCAAAGCAAGCTTGTCAAAT